GAGTGCAAGCCTGCATAGAACTGTGCAGTATAGTGTGAGTTTAACTATCAGAAACAGAGTTGAAAGTTGTGTCTAAATTGTGTACAATTGTTTAAAGTCTTGGCCCGAAATAAATGTTAATTTTTCAATGTAACAAAAAAAAATCGGAAAATGACGCATAAGGTATAAGAAATTATTATCATCTGCTAAAGCGGGTTTAGTTTTTATGCAATAGTCATAGTTTTACACCTCATACATAATACGAACTATGATAACTGGTCTAATCAAGTACTGAATGTTTAAATCTTTATATATCTAAGATAATTCCGGATTAGGACGACACAGTCAGTTAAACACAATTGAGTTTCTCTGTAAGAAAAGATTTATTGTTTATAAAATATGAAAATTTAACAAATTTGTGTTATTACTTATTAAGTTGCAAACTATTACAAACCTGTAAGAAAAGAAACGACATTTAATGTTATTATTAACAATGCCAGTTCCTAATCACAATTATAATACTTACTTAATGAAATTAATAATAAAGCTATTGTTCTTTTCAACAAATACGTGAGCGGTGTATATTTTATTTAAATACCGATGACAGATGACATATAAACGTCATCTGTTAGATCATGTTCAAATAAAGAAATTTATATTATTTCTTTACATATATAGAGGTATAATTCGTCTGTGAATGTGTATGTCACTGAACTTCTCTCAAACGACTGAACTGATTTTGATGATGTGTGTATTGAAGGGGATCTGGGAATGGTTTAGATTCACAAATCAGCCCGGCAGATGCCGCTGCAGTCGGTTTCTAGGTTATTAACTATACCTATTATTACAGGACAACGTCTGTCGGGTCTAGTCTAGTCTAGTTATAAAACAGGCTACGATTGCCTAAAAAACCAATTCCTAGAAATCATGCAGGATTAAATGTGCCATGCAAGATTATGGTTCTTTAAAGAAATCATTATTTTATATATTCCATACATCTATAGCTTCACGACGGAAACTCCTTGAAGGGTTAAAAAGGGATTCTTAGCATCCTCAGATGTTCAATTTTCCAGTGAAGTGCTTCCAATTTGAAGGTTATCGATTATGTAGAGCATTGTTAAGAACGTTCTTACAGACTGACAGACAGACATATTTCGATTATAAGTTTTATTAGGGAGTTGAGAAGTCATACAGGCTTGTTATTGGTGTTATTGTGAAAACATTGTATATGGTAAAAGATTGAAACGAGTTTTTACGGATTACGACTTAAATAGGATTTACTCATCACACTGCCTTATTTATCGAGTGATGGTGTGTATTTAATAATATTAGGGCAATAGAATTTACTTGCATCAAGTACCTATTATAGCTTCGTATTGTTTTATTGTAGCTAAACGTATATTCCTTTATCATAACAGTGTAGCAAAACAGTCTATGAAGAATGAAGTAAGTAGGGTGTTCCTTGTCTATGGTCCACAGATAAGATATTATGTATTCTATCATTTCAAATAACTCTGTGGATCATGGACAAGACTTCGTTTTTCATTTTTCTTTGTCTTTGAACTTTGGTATTTTTAATTTATATGTATATCTCTATTATTTCTATGATTTACCCTTGGTTTACCCTCGCTTTATATTATATTTTCTTTTTCTTTTTTGTAGTTTTTAGTTATATTATGTATGTTCTGCGCAAGAATAAATGGTTTTTCTTTGTTTCTTTTCTTCTTCTATTTTTATGAACACGAATCAATTTCAAGAGTAAACTTTTTAGTTATTAGTTATTTGTATTTTAAGTTGTATATATTTATTGATACTTAAGTAATTTAAATTTATTTCAAGTTTGTTAAGAACAAAAGAAATTATTAAGTTAGTAATTGCAACGATTGGAAGATAAACACACTCGAGATACCTATAGTAATGAACTCGTCCCTTATATTTCCTGTTCAATAACATGCAGTTGGCAATTTATAATGAATTACTTACTTTAAGTGTGAGAGAGCCATGCTTCGGCACAAATGGGCCGTCTCGACCGGAGTGATACCACGGCCTCACAGAAAACCGACGTGAAGCAACGCTTGCGTTGTGTTTCGTCGTGTGAGTGAGGTTACCGGAGGCCCAATTACCCTCCCCTTCCCTAATCCCTGAATCCCAAAAAGTCTGGTAACGCACTTATGACGCCTCTGGTGTTCCAGGTGTCCATGGACGACGCCGATTGCTTACCATCACGTGATCCGTCTGCTCATTTATCGGCGTATGTCATAAAAAAAAGAAAAACGAATTTACATTACGTTAACAATCGAAATCTGTAACTTATCATTTTTGACATCGGTCTCTGTAACCACCAGAATAATGAGGAGGTTAAACGATTATCTACATTACCTAAATATTTATTTAATTTAGAAGATCCTTAACGTTTAAGAAATAGGGTTCATTTTTCTTTATTGCCCATTAAAAGCTGCCTAGGTCTAGCACTAAAAAGGAAATTAGGCTCCAAAGTTTGCGTAGGACGATCGCAATATTATTTATTTACTAGCCTTCCCGTTTAATTACCGACGTGTGCGTAACTTAATGGTCTATTAACCTTTATAATCTCTGAGAATTTGTATCAGCGAAAAAAAGCCTAGGTTTTGTTTTTAAAGTTTGTAGGTAAATCGAGTTACATTATGTTTTTCTTCGTCTTTTTGTATTTAACGATTTATAGTTGTTAGGCAGTTGTGTAGAAATAGAATGATTGCTACTGATAAGTGTGGGAGAGCCATGCTTCGACACACATGGGTCGGCTCGACCGGAGTGATACCACGGCCTCATAGAAAACCGACGTGAAGCAACGCTTGTTGTGTTTCGTCGTGTGGGCGAGGTTACCGGAGGCCCAATTACGCCCCCCCCCCTCCCCAATCTCCCCAATTCCCGAATCCTCCACAATCCTCAAATTCCCAATTCCCAAAAGGCCGCACTTGAAACGCCTCGGTATTTCAGGTGTCCAAGGCCGGCGACGATTGCTCACCATCAGGTGATACGTCTGCTCGTTTACCGGCTTATACCATAAAAAATACTTATTTGGTCAAAAACTAAACGATTTTGATAAAATTATGTCACTAGTGCGATCATTTATTTTTTATTAATTCATTTCTTTTTATGTTAAAGTTGAATTGAATTTAGTTTAAAGTGTTGCTTTAAGTATAACTGTTTATTTTGGCATTGAGTTTGAGGTTGCACTTAATGTTACATATGTCGTGTATTTAATTTTAAGCAGAACAATTCTTGTGTGTATATGTAACTGTGTGTGTTTGTTGGTCTGTTGGTTCAGCTTGATATATCTAAAAGTTAACAATTTAAATGTTAACATTCTACGGTAAATAATTACATTACATACATTAATAAAATTAATATTTGCTTATACTAAATGAAAATATATACAACTTAAAATATAAATGAACTAAAATATTTACACCTTAAAAAAATTAATAATAATAATAAAAAGGCTATCATCATAAGGTATCAAAAAAAAAAAATAAAAAAAATTTCTGCGGTTCTACCATTAAATCTCATTATCAATAGTGACAATACTGATTAATGGAACCCATAAAAGTCGTCCTATTAAAATTACGTTCGCGCTTGACAAAAGGATTAGATATTAAAAGTTTAAGGTATATCAGAGAGGGCTGTCGCCCAATCTTAGTGTGTAGTCCCTTGGTCAGGTCTTACAATACAAAAGATAATAGTAGTGCAAGATATAGTCTACTTTGTCATTATCATACTAACACAAGATACACTATCAGATGCACTTCTAGCATAACATAATATCCAAGTTTACTAACTTATAGCGCAAAGTTTAGCATAATAATTATATATTAAGTATTTGCTAAGTTCTCAATTCAGTCTGCTTGCACCGTTATGGAGCGAGCGTGTGGTTTAATGGTACGTAATGCATGCATTACCGAGATGGTAAGATAGGTAATTATTGTAGTAAAAGCTGATAGGAAGTGTTATGGTAGGATGATGATCATAATACCTGGAAGTGGTTTTATAACAAAACTTCTTGTCAACATTTCCCCGCAGAAATAGGCAGAGATGATGATAGTAGGCAATGAGACACCTTCTTTCACCAGTTTCATTATGAGGCCAAGAAGGCTTACAATATGGAGCACAATAGGGTGATAGATGCCTTATGATGAATGATGATTTTTATTTTAATGTCCGTCTGGTAGATTATTTTAAATCATTAGATACGTATTTTTTATTTTCTTACAGAAACAAATAATTTCGACGATATATTGATTTGAAATGTCGCGTGACGTCACTTCTATGTACAATTTATACGTAGAAATGACGTTTTAGCCCCCCACTCCTAAACTTTGATACGTTTTATCTAAGTATTGTTTTATTATACGACGAAATAAAGAAATATGTGTCTAATATTTTTTCATTACCTAACTTACGGACTAAATAGATTTTTAATTCTCATACCCCGTTATCATCCCAATTTCACACTCAAAGATAGGATTTTGACGAAAAGGCGGACACAGTCTCTTGAAACAACGACTGTGGCACCTGGCTACTATAGACTTACACGGAGAATACACACACATTGACACGAAGGACATCTGTCATTTTCTTAAGTATGGTAACGTATAAATATCCACTAACATTTTGGTGCTACAATAATTTCTAAGTGATAATAGATTCGCCTTTTCTTCAACGTACTTGTGTCACAGTTTATGATCTACTAGCGACCCGGTCTGGCTTCGCACGGGTGGAATATACATGTATTGTGCATATAAACCTGCCTTATAAATCACTATATTAAAAAAAAACCGCATCAAAATCCGTTGCGTAGTTTTAAACATCGAAGCATACATAGGGACAGACAGACGGCGGACAGCGACTTTGTTTTATACTATGTAGTGAATCGATCTGATAATTGGTCCCGGTACTCCTTGCTCGGAACAACTTGCCTCATATCTCCTATATTTAGGTACTTCTTTTAGAACTGTCTAACACAACCCTCTCCTTTGTTTCAGGTGGCGCCAAATTTAATAGAATTCGTGAAGTCACCAGTAAATATTATAGATTTTATAGCAACGCTAAGTTTTTACATGGATGTCGTGGTGGAACTGACGGTGGTGAGACAGTATGTCGATAAAGCCGACATCCTGGAGTTCATTTCCATCATTAAGATCCTCAGGCTGTTCAAGCTGACGAGGCACAGCCCTGGCCTGAAGATCCTGGTGCATACCTTCAAGGCTTCTGCCAAAGAACTGACGTTACTGGTGTTTTTCTTGGTGCTTGGCATCGTGATATTTGCGAGCTTAGTCTACTATGCTGAGAAGTCTCAGGTGAGTTTGTTTTTATTATAGTTTATATTATGTTAGATTAAGAGTTTGTTGTTGATGGAACTTTTTGACATAAACTTTTTGACAATATGGCTACATGTGCCTCAATCAAGACAGTGAATTTTGAGATTTCAAAAAAGACTATATTGTAATAACGATACTTGCTTCTGTTAAAAAAATGTTCTATTAGCGACTCATTTTTACGAGTGAGGGTTTATGAAATGAAATGAAAATGTTTATTCGGCATAAGACGTGAACCCCAGGAACAAAAAAAAAATGTACATTATAACAAAATGACAATAAAAAAGGTTTAAACATAGATAGAGAGAGAAAAAAAGAAGCTTAAGCGATTAAGCTTAATTATAAAAATTAAACAGTTTAGCGAAATCCTCCCTTAAAGATAAAGATAAAGATATTTTATTTCGCAAATAATGGTACAAGTCATGGTACTTACAACTCCCTATCACACCGCAAGAAACAAGTAGCTGAGTTTCAGCTTCTTCGAACTAGCAGCCGACACGCTGCGTATCAATCAGTCAGTCACTCACGCCGGAATACTGAAACGTTACTCAATTTTAAGTCGTGCTTAAATATCGTGCCATTTCTGTCATTTTAAAAAGAATTTAGTAGTAGTAGTGAGTAGCGTTTGAGTTTTCCCACATATGTCAGAGAAAAGTTTTGTATAATATACAGAACATTACATTGATACTGCGGAAATAACCTCAAAAACGAACTATTCGAAGCCATACCAAAAATCGAATACAAATAAACAAAAATCCCGTTATATGCGAAATACCTGATCCATTCGATCAAATTCTGCAAATAACAGGCTGCTCAATCATAATGCATCACTGGTGTCGAAATGTGAGCAAACTTTCCTTTCTTCTGTCAATAATTTCGGCTGAATGATTGTGTAGTCGGTTTGAGTTCAGTTTTAGGGAACAGGACGTAGTAGGGATGGTTCGGTTATTAAGTTGAGAGTAAGTAATAGAGTAGTTTCCTTTTTATTTGAATGTTCGTCTGCAAAATTAATTTAAAACATTAGATGCGTATTTTTTCTTTTATCACAAAATTAAATACCCGCACTAGGATTTTTCCTGAGTCGTGGGTGCGTTTACATACACATGACACCCAGACCTGGAACAACAATCTATGAATCACTTAAAGAGTTGTTCCGTGCGAGAATCAAACCCGCGACACGTTGCCCTGCAGCCGGTTGCCCAGCCACCGCGCTGGCCGTACAGTCATATTAATTAGGAATATAGTGTGACGTCACAAAGGTGCTAAATTTATAGCACTTGTGACGTCACCTCCCACTCCTAAACTTAACGACATTTAATTAAAATATTTAATTGTAACTTTATACGAGCAAATAAAAAAGGACGTGTTTAATATCTTTACATTAAGTAGATATCTACCTTACGGACTAATTAGATTTTTAAAGTCAAAGTCAAAGCATTTATTTCAATTAAACCATAATTTGGTACTTTTAAATAAATAATAGTCAGTCAGTCAGTACGTCAGTGAAGCTAGGTGAAGCGCATTTCAAAATGTAGATTTTGCTTTTGGGTATTAAAACAAAATCTACATAGTCAACTGTATGACTGTATGACTCGTTCTGTAGCTACTTGAAATAATGTAAACACAATATTTCATTAAGGACCTGTTTCCTAATAATAAATCTGATTACTCATATGGCTGCAAGGTTGGTGTAGTGGCTGGGCAACCGACTGCTGCACAGCGCGATTAACTCTTGTGCAGTCTAATTGTTGTAATGTTAGTAAACGCACTTACTACACAACATAAAACTTAAGCACCACGTGAAACAGAAATATGGCGAATACTACACTGAAACCAAAAAACTAAGGTAAAAACCCAACGATGTCTGCCCATCTCATTATAAGACAAGCTCTAAGATTGATAACAAAAGTCAATGCAGTATTTCAATACTTGCTGATCGTACACTTCAAACAATACAAAACCAGTATAAATTGACCGATAAATTCGCCAAAAGATCATACAAAACTGGACCACGATAAACTGGAATTGTGTAGTTTCATCTGTAACCATATTTACACGGGTCTACCGGTTCAATCAGAGATCGAAATATCAAACACGAAGTTTCTATTGTTAGTCGGCAAATAATTTCAAGAAAACGCTTCGGTTTCACTCACACTGTTACGAAAATCGTGTATGTATACAAAATTCTCAGCGTATGTGTTCGGTTTCACACACACATTTACAGAAAAGGAATTATAGATGTTCTGTGTCTGTGTGTGTGTTTGTTTAGGTCAGAAGGGACATCATGTCTTAAAGTGTACCTTTTGTACATGATTCTTAATGTAAGATAGATGTCTTACTAAGAATTTGTAAGAAAACTTGTCAAGAGCGGTTTGGGATCATGTTCTCTTATATTTGCCTTTAGGGTCGTCGTCTGGAGTTGCTAACAATTCAATGTTAAAGTATACATACCTAAAGTGACGATTCTATCCCATGGCAGAAGATAGTAACTACAAAGCAACATGCCAGTCCTTGGGTCCTTCTTTAGGCATTAATTGTGACTATCATGCGATTGACTATCCTGGTCATGCTATTAAAAATACATTTCGGTGAGTGTGCGGGGGAATTGCACAACTTGATTCTTCCTAGTCCTTTCCATTATCGTAGCACAAAACAATCGGCGAAGCGTCACCGATTCATAGTAGATGTCCCACCCACACGCTCGACGCGCTTCGCATCAAGCTTCCTTGTGCGTACTGCTAAGGAGTGGAATTCTTTGCCAGTGTCTATCTGACTGAAATTTTCTGAAGGGTATAACCTGGGTGTCTTCAAGGCCCGAGTGAATAGGTTGCTTATGGGACGACGTGCTCCATCTTAGACCGCATCATCGCCTACCACCAGGCGAGATAGTGGTCAAACGTCGCCCCTCAAATATAAGAAAGAAAAACTTTAATTCATAATTATAGAGCCCTTAAAATAGTAAAATTTTTATACAACTACAATTTTTAGTAAGTTTTTAATTAGTAATTCACTAATGTCAATTAATCCACAACTTTTACTGTTGCCTATCCGACTTGAAAATGGGTCTAACCTAGAATGTGGACCTCAAGTGGTTTGTAAAAGGTAGGTATAGTTACATTATCAAAAAACTTTCATAAAAGAAATTAAATATGTAACATTTGACGCAGAAGTACTCTTGGACCATTTTTATTTATTTTATACAATGACGTCACTATGACGCACACATACGTCAGAAAACGTATGCAAAGTTATTTTAATCGCTTTATATTATACGTTGGATTTTAAAAGGGTATATATACTAGCTGGATATTTTTAAGTTACCACGTCATCTGATGTTTTATAAACATATTATTTTGTTATATAAACATACCACAAATATTGTTGGCGAAGGCAAATATATTATACACTAGCTGTGCCCGCGACTTCGTTCGCGTAGAATAGTGACTATGGGCAGCGTTTTTTTTTAAATATATACTTATTTTTATTTTAGATTTGGATCATAATCACAGTCATTTTGGGTAGCTAAAAAACCTACTTTACTGTAATGCTTCTCTATATACAATATTAGACGTATGGCCATCGGGGGTGAAAGCATACAGGCTGCTGGGATTGCTAACACGGGACAGAGCCACATACAATTGACCGTGCGAAAAACAGCTGATACTTAGATCTATACCCAAAACTTTTAGAGTCTGACCTTGAGCTTTATTAATTGTCATGGCGAAACATAGGCTCACTGGAAACTGAATTCGTTTAAAATTAAACGGAAAATTTTTTGGAATGAGAGGAATCTGAGGAATAAAACCACTATCACCTTTTCCGCACCCTGTTAAATATATATATATTTATAAGCCATTTCTGAGATTAGCGTGAACAGACAAACAGACAAACAGACAAAAAAAAAGTTAGTTACATTTTTGGGTTCGACATCGACATAACAATAGCCCCTGCTATTTTTTTTATTTTTATTTTCAATGTACAGACAGCACTTTTCTACAATTTTATTATATGTATAGATAGATAGATAGATAGTGTTCGACGTGATTCTTTAATTTGACGTAACTTTTTTATTTATGAACCGATTGACATGAAACAAACACTAAAGCATAACTGAAGCATACCACAATATATTCGTGAAAACCGCATCCAACTCGGATAAGCCGTTTCTGAGATTAGCGTGAACAGACAAACAGACAAACAGACAAAAAAAAAGTTAGTTACATTTTTGGGTTCGACATCGACATAACAATAGCCCCTGCTATTTTTTTTATTTTTATTTTCAATGTACAGACAGCACTTTTCTACAATTTTATTATATGTATAGATAGATAGATAGATAGTGTTCGACGTGATTCTTTAATTTGACGTAACTTTTTTATTTATGAACCGATTGACATGAAACAAACACTAAAGCATAACTGAAGCATACCACAATATATTCGTGAAAACCGCATCCAACTCGGATAAGCCGTTTCTGAGATTAGCGTGAACAGACAAACAGACAAACAGACAAAAAAAAAGTTAGTTACATTTTTGGGTTCGACATCGACATAACAATAGCCCCTGCTATTTTTTTTATTTTTATTTTTAATGTACAGACAGCATTTTTCTACAATTTTATTATATGTATAGATATTATGTCCACGGTTTCGAAGTTTCAAAAGTGCTGAAATGTGGAACAAAACATAACATCACGCCTTTTATCCCCAAAGGGATGGCAGAGGAGTACATTATGGCACTTAATGCCAGAATACAATGTAACACCCGCTTTTCACTATTTATGTTATGAGTCCCATGTAATAGGGGGTGAGCCTATTTCCATTTACCGGGCACAATTCCAGACTCCGTGCTACTGCTGAGATTTTTTGAAAAAACCCAATAATACTTTACCCGACCCGGGAATCGAACCCGAGATCCCTTGCCCGGCCGTCGCACTTGCGACCACTCGGCCAACGAGGCGGTCTGAAATGTGGACTAGTTTA